CAATTTCATATACATTCCCTAAATTTATAGCACAAAGGTTTAGAGCCTTTCTTTACTTCCCTCCAGCTGCAACATGAAGTGCAAAATCTCTGCTTGGTAAGCACATCTCAATCAGTAATCAGGTCTGATCAAAGTTTTTTGTTTCTTTTTTTTCCCCTATAATTGTCCCATACTGGTAATCTCCATTCCCATATCTATTGCTTGGATTTCTGTCTGTATAAATTAGAAAACTCAAGTAGTTCTTTTGGAGTGTAGTTCAGCTCCTCCAGTGTCCCTGTCTGTACCTTGCTTCCAGGTGCCTGCTGGCACCTGAGACAAGTTACAGAATCAGAAGCAATGGGGGGAGCTGAGGTGGGTCCTCCAGAGAATCAGCATGGTCTTTCATGGCAACTGCTGCAGGGGAGGCCGTTACAGTTTCTTCAGCCAATAAAGGGTTAATTCTACAGACAGGACGCATAGTCTTGTCTTCGGGGTTGGAGAGACCTCTTCACTGGTAAAGAACACTCACCTTAAGTCCTTCTTCTCAATTCCCCCAAACCTCTAGTGTTCTAAGCTGGAATCTGGATTTCATTTATGACTCTTTTCATACCTTCATCCTATATTAAGTTCTTTTTTTGTTGTTGTTGTTGTTTATAATTCCTAAGTATTGCTTGAGCTCTTCTCTATCTCTTGGATTTTGTTTGGGTTCCCCATAATGAAGACCCTGACATGAAAGCAATTTACAAGAGAAAGACTGAACGAGGCGGCCTATGGTAGGTGTAAACAAAGGATATGCTTTCAGTTAGAGTTTAGCTTTAGCCTAGGGCCGTGGAGCCCTGGAGCCCTGGAATGTATATTGTCCTGCAGTACTGGTTCCACCATCCATCAAGGGGGCCAGCCTTCTCAGTGCTGCTCCAGTCGTTCATGGTGTACTCATGGTCCCTCGGATGGTGGGTATAATCTCCAATGAGTCATATCCAATTCTCTCTCTTGCAGCTGTCCACAAAGAATGGGGCTGTGAGCTTTTAGCAGCCCAGGCAAACAGCAGCTGTGTTCCAGGTGCATCTGTGTTCCAGGTGCATCTGTGCAGCAAATGAGGTTTGACCAGATGCAGAGGGCCTACAATATTCTTCACCACACTGGCACCACCAGAAGTCACACCTCCATCATTTCACATCCAAATCATTACAGTAGCCTCCCTAACATTCTGCTACTTGTACCCTTCAATTCACTTTCTCTACTACAGCCAAACACTTTCCCTGGTGGCTCAGATGGCAAAGAATCTGTCTGCAATGCAGGAGACCCGGGTTTGATCCCTGGGCTGGGAAGATGCCCTGGAGAAGGGGATGGCTACCCACTCCAGTATTCTTGCCTGGAGAATCCAATGAACAGAGGAGCCTTGTGGGCTACAGCCCATGGGATAACAAAGAGTCAGACACGATTGAGCAACTAATACTTTTTCACTATAGCCAAAGTTTTTATTCTAAAATTTAAATCTAATTGCATCATGTGCTAACTTAAAACATCTTCCAGAAAGAATGGGAAAAATATTTATATAACAGAAATCACTGCACTGTCCACCTGAAACCCACAATGTCAGAAATCATCTATACTTCAATATGAAAAAAAAATGATCTTTTAATATCATGGCAACCCACTCCAGTACTCTTGCCTGGAGAACCCCCATGGACAGAGGAGCCTGGAGGGCTAGAGTCCATGGGGTCGCAAAGAGTCAGACAGGACTGAGTGACTCAGCACAGCACAGAGTACTGAGTTTTAAGCCTTAGCACCATGACGAGGCCCTCCCCAGTCTTACCTGTTCCTACCACACCAGCTTCGGTTCAGTTCAGTTGCTCAGTCAAGTCCGACTCTTCACAGAGTTGGATACTCCAGCTCCTTATCTTGCTATTTGCCCTTTAGAAGTTAAGTGTCTAGCATTCTTCCTGGAATGCGGTGCATATTCAGTGAAGAGTTGTTGAATAAAAAGTTTAACAACCACAGCTATGTGACATTTATGAGGAGTCTGTGTACACATTTCACCTTCAGGACTTTGTTACATGTTTCCTCTCCTAAAACATTCTAGAACCATCTGATGTCTATTCTTGCCGTTGACTCTTTGAGTCCCATTTATGATGTCTTTTCACCTTGGAGTGTTTTCTGAACCCCCAGATCTTTGTTATGTATCCCTCAAAAGTGCTTTCAGAGTAAGTACCCTTGTTTCCACTATCTTACCGTTTATAACACTGTGCTGTAATTTTTTACTCTCTTCTAGGAGTCTATAGATCTAAGCTCTGTGAAGACATCATTCAGGTTTTTCTGTATGCACTGCTGAAGCCCCAACAACTGTCACTATCTGATATATTCATTGGGCTGAAAAAAATATTTGTTGTTTAATGAATATAGGTTGGGTGAAATGAATGGAATGTATTTATGCTGGGGTTGTTTTTTGTGTAAAGGGAGCTACAGATTAAATACAAACCAAAAAAACACTGTTTTATAATGAAATGTTACCTAAAAGGAAATACAGAAACATTTTTTAAATTTTTAAATCAAAATATAAAACCCAATCAATATAAAATAATCAATACAAAAATAATAAATATTTTAAAATATTGACAGAGAAATATAGGAAAAAACAGGGTGATGATATCATGCTTAGGACTGGGAGACTATCAAGGTAAATTATGTGTTCAAAAGATAACAGGTTTGTTTTCAATTTCTTCCTTGTTCCTAGTTTATGCAGGAATAAAACCAAATCTTAGTTTTCAAAAGACATATACCTAGATTAATTCTCTGAATCTGAAACAGATAAAGGTAGAAAAAATTTCCTAGTCTGCAATACTACATGTTGCCTGATATTTTATTGAATTTATTCATCTTCCCTTATACTTACATACATTCATCTAGCATTTATCATAAATCAGACACTGGGCCTTGAAGATGATATTATTTGCAAGTAGGTAAATATTTTACAGAGTATGACTTAATTTGTTTAATAAATTGAAATTCCTGTCTGATATTAGACTATTCTTTTACTTGGATCTTCACTCTTTTTGATGGGTTATCAGGATAAGATTGTGACATGAGCAATACAAAATGATGCTTAATGCAATAAGAAAATTTGGAATATTGTGCAACATTCCTTAAATTCTCCTTAGAGTTTAAATGTTTCATTGCTTATCATATATTAATGCATACATATGGAATCTAGAGAAGAGGCAAAGATGAACTGATGTGTAAGGTAGGACTAGAGGTGCAGATGTTGAGAACTGATTTGTGGACACAGTGGAGGAAAGAGGGGCTGGGTGAGCTGAGAGAAGAGCATTGAAAATACCATGTGTCAAACAGGGGAAAGCTGCTGTGAGCACAGGGTCTCAGCTCGGCGCTCTGTGATGACCTAGAGGGGAGTTATGTACCACGGTGTCACATACCACATACCAGAGACACACATGTATATGTGTGGACAGAGGATCCCGATGGGCTGCAGCCCATAGCATCCCAAACAGTCGGACATGACTAATGCAACTTAGCACACACCATATATACAATCTCAGCACAGTCCCTATCTCAATAAATGGTAAGTAGTATCACTAGGTTTTCCAGTAGTCATGTGCAGATGTGAAATTTGGACCATAAAGAATTCTGAACACTAAAGAATTGATGCTTTTGAACTGTGGTGCTGTAGAAGACTCTTGAGAGTCCCTAGGACTGCAAGGAGATCAAACCAGTCTTTCCTCAAGGAAATTAGCCTTGAATATACATTGGAAGGACTAACGCTGAAGCTGAAGCTTCAATACTTTGGCCACTTGATACAAAGAGCTGACTCACTGGAAAAGATCCTCATGCTGAGAAAGATTGAAGGCAAAACGAGAAGGGCGAGGCAGATGAGATTGTGGGATAGCATCACCAACTCAACAGACATGAGTCTGAGCAAACTCTAAGAGAGAGTGGAGGACAGAAGAGGCTGGGGTGCTGCAGTCCATGGGGTCATAAAGAGTCAGAAATGATTTAGCAACTGAACAACATAATTATGTTACCTTTGTATCATTGTCTGACAGCATATCTCCACAGTTAAGAATATGGTCTGAGAAAGCAGCTAAAAATATGGTTCTTCAATATTACTCTTTTGGAACCTTCCCATTCTATTTGCTTAATCACCTATAAAATGAGGATAATAGTAATGCCTACTTCTTTGGATAGTTACAGAGATTACTGCTCAATATCACTGTGTTTATTTTTTATTAGAATGGATTTATTAAAGCATATAGATAGATAAAGCTAGAAAAACTAAGCATCTACTTGGTAAAATGCTCCAAACATGAAAAAGTAGTCTCCTGCCAGTTTGTCTCACTTTTCATGCACCATTTCTTCTCCCCACTGCAGAATCTATGATTTATAGTAGCTATAAATATATAGTAGTATTTACCTCAAAGGCCTTCTTTGCTGAAAGTATCAGCAAAGTCCTTCTGAACTTTGCACCATGAGAATCAATGCTGGTCTCCTCTTATTTATCACCTGAAATAGCTTGTCTATTACACAAATTCCTAATGGCATTTTTCATTTGGGCATTTCTCAAAGTATAGATGAAGGCATTTAACATGGGAGTTATCATAGTGTAGAATAGAGCCACTGCTTTATCAATTGGTAAAGTAACTGGTGGTCTCAGATATACAAAAATGCAGGGCATGAGGAGTATGGTGACAAGCGTGAAGTGGGAGACACATGTGGAGAGGGCCTTGCGCCTCGCCTCCAAACTGTGTTTCCTTAGGGAGCGCAGAATGACCACATAGGAGCCCATCAAGAGGATGAAGTTTATAAGGCAGATGAAACCACTGTTGGCAGCAACAAATAATCCTAGAGTGTGAGTATCAGTGTAGGCAAGATTTAGCAAAGGGTTCAGATCACAGAAAAAGTGATCGATGACATTAGGGCCACAAGAGGGTAATCTGAAGATGAAAAAGATCTGTATGATTCCATGAAGAAAGCGTTCCACCTATGCCACTCCAATTAGCAGCCCACACACCCTCCAGTTCATGATGCTTGTATAGTGCAAGGGCTTGCAGATGGCCACATAGCGGTCATAGGCCATCACAGTGAGCAGGATGGCCTCAGCACTTCCTAAGAAATGTTCCCCAAAGATTTGGGTCATGCATCCATTGAACAGGATGGTCTTCCTTTCATGGAGGGAATCGAAGATCAGTTTAGGGGTATTCACAGAGGAGTAGCAAGCATCAATAAAGGAGAGATAGGCCAGAAAAAAGTACATGGGAGAACTCCGTAATGGACTGACTATGATGGTGACCATGATGAACATATTTCCTACCACAGAGATGATGTAGATGACCAAAAACACAACAGATACGACCTTCTGCAACTTTGGATTCTGCGTGAGCCCCAAGAGAACAAACTCGGTCACGTTGTTCCTATTCTCCATGTATTTTATATTACGGTTCATCATGTCACCTGAAAAAAAAAAAGTTACTTTTCATCACCTCAACCTTGAGTTCCCTAAGCCTCTCTATGTAATAAAAAATAAATGCCCAGATTCTATAGAGTTCTGAATTTTTGAATTCTTTTTTGGATATAGGAAAAATGTTTCTGATCTCTTGAAGACAGCTCACAGACTCCCCTGGAGAGAGATAATGCTTAGAGCTTAGAGACATGAGGGGCTCTGTGAACACACAGGCAGGAGATTTTCTGTGCACAGGTGTTCATGTGAGATGACTCAAGCTTAACATGAATCAATAGATCTCACACATAGAGGCAGACAAACCTGAGATGAAAGGTAGAAAATGGATGCAAAGGCTATGGATGCAAAAGCAAGGGATTTTCCCTTTATTCTTAGGAAATGAGAAAACATTAAAGTTAAATGAAAATGTGAGAGGAAGGATGAGGAGGGATGTGAGAGAGAGGGTGTGTTGGCTGTAATTCCAAAAACAAACTTTTTCTGAATTCTATGGAGTGGGATGAGGTTTAGTAAGGGGATGGAAGACATAAGAACATGAGTAGCAGGCTCTTTATAAATAGTTCACATAAGTGTGACAGAGCACTGGGAACGGGAAAGGAATGAGAAGGTAAATAAACTACTGGGCCAAAACACTGGAGTGGGTAGCTGTTCCCTCCTCCAGGCTCCAGGGGATCTTCCCAGCCCAGGAATTGAACCCCGGTCTCCCACACTGCAGGAAGATTCTTTACTAGCTGAGCCACTGGGAAGCCCAATAAAATAAACATGCCTCCTAGATCTAGTGACTCTATAATACTTGATAAATTTGCTTTAATGATTGATGGCCATATGCATGGCATGATTACAATCTATGTATATTTCATTCATATAGCAGATGACAAAAACAATACTATATAAGAGTAAAAATATACTAGTGATATTAGCAATATTAGCTAAAGCTTGCTGAATATTTACTGTGCCCTAAGATACTTCATTATATAAGCTTAATTAAAAACTTGTGTTTACTACTATCATTTTTATACTTATTTTACATATTAGGGAGGAGATGCTTAGAGAAGCTAAAAATTCTACATAAACTCAGGCAGCTACAAAGAACAAAGGTAAGATTAGTTTAAATTAACCCTATGTGCAAAACAGAAAAAGAGACACAGATGTACAGAACAGACTTTTGGACTCTGTGGGAGAAGGCGAGGGTGGGATATTTCGAGAGAACAGCATCGAAATATATATATTATCTAAGGTGAAACAGATCATCAGCCCAGGTTGGATGTATGAGACAAGTGCTCGGGCCTGGTGTACTGGGAAGACCCAAAGGGATCGGGTGGAGAGGGAGGTGGGAGGGGGGATCAGGATGGGGAATACATGTAAATCCATGGCTGATTCATGTCAATGTATGACAAAAACCACTAAAATATTGTAAAGTAATTAGCTTCCAGCTAATAAAAATAAATGGAAAAAAATAAATAAATTACACTTTTATTTTTGATCCAAATTCTTAAACTATAACCTATAAAATTATTACAATAGAGAGAGCAATTTAATCAAATAATTGAGCTATTTCAAATCCTAAAAATGATGCTGTGAAAATGCTGCACTCAATATGCCAGCAAATTTGGAAAACTCAGCAGTGGCCACAGGACTGGAAAAGGTCAGTTTTCATTCCAATCCCAAAGAAAGGCAATGCAAAGAATGCTCAAACTACCACACAATTGCACTCATCTCACACACTGGTAAAGTGATGCTCAAAATTCTCCAAGCCAGGCTTCAACAGTATGTGACCCGTGAGCTTCCAGATGTTCAAGCTGGTTTTAGAAAAGGCAGAGGGATCAGAAAACAAATTGCCAACCTCTGCTGGGTCATCAAAAAGCAAAAGAGTTGGATTTACATGTATTCCCCTGGCTAATTCATTTCAATGTATGACAAAAACCACTGCAATGATGTAAAGTAATTAGCCTCCAACTAATAAAAATAAATGAAAAAAAAAAAAGAAAGTGAAAAAAAAAAAAAAAAGCAAGAGAGTTCCAGAAAAACATCTATTCCTGCTTTATTGACTATGCCAAAACCTTTGTGTGGATCACAGTAAGCTGTGGAAAATTCTGAAAGAGATGGGAATACCAGACCACCTTATCCGACTCTTGAGAAACCTGTATGCAGGTCGGGAAGCAACAGCTAGAACAGGACATGGAAGAAGAGACTGGTCCCAAAATAGAAAAGGAGTACATCAAGGCTGTATATTGTCACCCTGCTTATTTAACTTATATGCAGAGTACATCATGAGAAACGCTGGGTTGGATGAAGCACAAGCTGGAATCAAGATTGCTGGGAGAAATATCAATGACCTCAGATATGCAGATGACACCACCTTTATGGCAGAAAGTGAAGAAGAACTAAAGAGCCTCTTGATGAAAGTGAAAGAGGAGAGTGAAAAAGTTGGCTTAAAGCTCAACATTCAGAAAACTAAGATCATTGCATCCACTCCCATCACTTCATGGCAAATTGATGGGGAAACAATAGAAACAGGGACAGACTTTATTTTGGGGGGCTCCAAAATCACTGCAGATGGTGATTGCAGCCATAACATTAAAAGTCACTTGCTACTTGGAATAAAAGTTATGACCAACCTAAATAGCATATTAAAAAGCAGAGACATGACTTTGCCAACAAAGGTCCATCAGGTCAAGGCTATGGTTTTTCCAGTGGTCATGTATGGACGTGAGAGCTAGATTATAAAGAAAGCTGAGGGCTGCAGAATCGATGATTTTGAAGTGTGGTGTTAGAGAAGATTCTTGAGAGTCCCTTGAACTGCAAGGAGATCCAGCCAGTCCAGTCCATCCTAAAGGAAATCAGTCCTGAATATTCATTGGGACGACTGATGCTGAAGCTGAAACTCCAATACTTTGGCCACCTGATGCGAAGAACTGGCTCATTGGAAAAGACCCTGAGGCTGGGAAAGACTCAAGGTGGGAGGAGAAGGGGACGACAGAGGATGAGATGGCTGGATGGCATCACCGACTCGATGGACATGAGTTTGTGTAAACTCCAGGAGTTGCTGATGGACAGGGAAGCCTGGTGTGCTGCAGTCCATGTGGTTGCAAAGAGTCTGACAGGACTGAGGGACTGAACTGAACTGAATCAATGTATACACAGGCTTAGAGACGTACACCCACATTATAACTTCCTGAAATCCCCCAATATTAGTAACTATATGGTACTGCTTTCATTAAAGGTCCATTTTATCTCTTTCTCTTCCCTTCCCATATTTCTTCCATTGAAAATTTCCCTACAAGCATGAACCCACTCTCTTCTGCAAAATGTTGCAAATGATGTTGAAAATGGTGATCCCATTGGGTGAGCATATTGGTTTGGGAATCAGAAGGTCCAGATTAGAATCTTGCCTTTTCTCGCTTGCTACTTGTTGATCTGAGGTGCATTTCTTGGCATCTTACATTTTTGTTTTTCAATATCAAGTGAGAAGTATAACCCACCTCACCTCACAGGCTATTATGAGGACTGGTTAAAGAAACGTTTAAATGCATACACCACACTGTTGGGGACACACGGAAGACCTTCCTTATTTATGGCTATTTATGCACTCACGATTAGGAAGAACTGATATTTTTGGCAATAATGCATACAAACATTTAACCATACAATAGACTGAGGAATAATAATCTCCAATTTTACTTTTAAGACATCACAGAGATCCATGTTATGTTCAGCGTTTGCTCCCAGGAAGTTCTTCATATTCATGTTTGAACTAAGCAAGTGATGGTTCATATCATCTAATATTCACATTGATATCTTTTTGTGTGTGAAATTCATTTAAGTTTTATTTTCATACTCATGAATAGTCTTGATTATTATAATAATTGTCCAATGACAAAATAAGTATATCTGGTATTAGAGAAAAGGGTCTTAAATTTCTTAATCTCAGGCAGACTAGTGTTTTCTTCATCAAATTAGGTTTATGACATTTACCAAATATCTTTTGAAGAAAGGTGGTGAATGTAAAAGGTTATTATTGTATTTTTAAAGTATTAAAATATAACAATTACTATATATGGAAAATAACAACCTAACTAATTTACTAACAGTACTATTGAAAAACTTACCTTCTGGTCTTAGATGATATTAATGATAGTTGAGGGTGTTCAGAACTAATTCCACTTTAAAATTGACCTCCTGTTTGGATAAGAAGCTTTCAATAGGAATGATGTGACACACTCAGAAAGAGGCTATTCAGATAATTCAACATCAAGTCAATAGAAGATAAGTAAGTCTTTGAATAGGTCTAAATCTTTTCTTCTAGCCTAAAGACTAAAAAAGATTTCACAGAAAATCTGAGACTTGAATTCAGAGTAAATTCACTTAAAATACCAAGGCAAAATGATCTTTCATGAATGGTGATCCAAAAGCTAGGAGGCAGAATGTGTGGTGGAAACGTATTCAAATATGTCTGTCCACTCTTGACAAATCTTTCTCTGGAAAATGTAAACAAGAAAAGACTTTTTCAACTGCATGCATGGATATTTACCAAGTTTGCCATATAGGTTCTAGGGCCTGGTCTATAGCTGCTATTTTCTCCCCCAGGAACTAATTATCTACTTTGATTGAAAGACTTTATCTTAGAAGCAGGTATTCTCTAGAGACATGGTTGGGAAACACTCATTTTTGAGTGGGGAATTGTATTCCCTACACTTGCAGCCAAAATGTGTGAGTGTCCTTTCTCTATCTGGCTTTCTAAGTAGGCTGACTATTGTATAAATAACAAGGATGGTGTAATTCCATCACAGTAATATCCATGATGTAGTTACCCTGTGAGATCATGTCAGAGAGAAAACTTCCATTATATATATATGTACTATATCTTCCTCATCCATTCATCTATTGATGAACACTTAATTGCTTCTCTGTATTGGCTATTGTAAACAGCACTGCAATGAACACTGGAGTGCATGTATCCTTATGAA